CCTCGGGCCCTCCCCCACGCCCGGAAAGCGCGGGCTGCCCCGAGGGGGCGGCTTTGCCGCTGCGGGTTTGGCACATTAGTGAGGGAAAGAGGAGAAAAGCGAACGACCGTCCTTCCCCAGCCCCAGAGCCTGCCCGCTGCCCTGCTGGGTCTTTCGAGAATCTCGAGGCAATCTTGGAAGTCGTGAGTAAAAGCAATCCCCTTTCTCCCACCCAGAGCGCTGGGTCCTAGCGGCTGCTTCCGGTCTAGAACGGCGGGCTGACCGTAGGCGTTTGGCCCCGGGGTGGCGGTGGTTGTATGGCTCTGGGGCCGAGTCTGAGGAGTAGGCAGGGGGTGGGGCCGGAGCGAGGATTAACTCGCTCTCGTCACTGTCCTTGGGCTCCGCACCTGCTGAGACCTTGCCTCCCGGCGCCGAGCCCGCCTCGCGCATGCGCCGACCTGTGCCGAAGGGCGCCGCGCGCGCTTCCGGCGCCAATCGTGAGGTTCTCCTGTGGAGCCTCTCGGTAAGGTCGGCCCGCTAACCCTGTCCGGCGCGGGAGGAGCGGCTTATGGCTAAGGGTCCTGGGATGGGAGCCTCCAGATCTCCGCTCTGCTCGTAAGAGGACCACTCAAAGTCACTGTTCATTTGTTCAGGGCCCTTGTGTGATCTGAGGCGCGGCTCTTGCCTCACTGTGTATGAATATGTGTGGTGTGACAGGAAAGAAAACTTTTACTGAGCATCTTCAAAGTGGTGGTTTACGCAGCAGCAGGATGCATAGGAATGCATTAAATTATTGCAGACCTCTGAGTCCAGAATGCAACTTGAGAGGCAAGATGGCACATTTCTGAGAAAATGCATCGTCGTGCAGCAAACAACGAAATGCTCAGTATCAAAAGAAATGCCAGCAAAAAGTGCTGGGCTTGCAGGATAGACTGGAAAGGGTTTTGTGAGTTAGAATTTGCAAATTTAGTATTGATAAATTGTTATTATGTGTGGGGGTGCACTTAACCTTTTTATCTCCTCTGAAGATAGATATTTCTTAAAGGATGCTTATTGTACACTATTTGTTTTAAACTAATACTCTTCAATTATAAATTGTTCATTGAAGTAACTAAAACTTTGTTTTGAACTTTTTGCTTAATAGAAATACTTGCCTTTTGTTTTTTGGCTACTTACAGGTATTTTTGGAGTTAATTGGCATCACAACTGAAGTTCCAGCCCTGACATAGACATATCCTAGCAATGTGACCTTGGACCAGTTACTTAATCTCTTAAACCTGTTTCTCCAACTCTAAAATGAAGTTAATAATAGTAGCTGTTTTATTCAGTTTTTCTGAAGATTAAGTTAAAAAAAAGAATATACAACAGTACAACCCCTGGTATATAGTGAACACTTAATAAATGGTGTTTTTTATTGGCAATAGTATAGGCCCATTGACTTATCTTTTAGGGTTAATAAATAGATGAATACAAGCCTCTTTGTAAATTAAGCTGTATTAACGCAGAGCACCCAATCCCACTTTTAAAAACTTTATGTAAATAATAAACATACACAAGAGAGACACTAGAATTATGAACCACTCATATACCCATCCACTGCCCAGCTTCAGTAATTGTTAGACTTCAGTTCTGCATGATACATATCCCCAGCCAACATCCATTTATTGTTTTAGCTGGAATATTTTAAAGTAAATCCCAGTGAACATATCACTTTACCTGTAAACACCTCATTATTTTTCTTTAACAGATAAAGGACTTTGTTTTTAACCTGCCCATCTCATTATCATATCCAAGACAATAAAAAAGAATTTCTTAATCTCTAAAATATAGAACCTGTTCAGTTTTCACTGATTACCTAAAAAAGTGTAATCACAATTTTTGAAAAGCTTAATAAATGTATTATTAATTCTGTACTGCTTTATAGTTTACCAGGTAGCTTCTCACATGATATTGCTCCCTTTAGAAATACCATTGCTTATCTTAGCCTCTTCATCAAAGACCTTAAGAAATAGCAAGAGACAAAACAGTTTGGGTACTTGTTAGCAATGGTAAGGCATTGGCTAAGGAGCCAGATGTGAAGTTTAGTAGACTTTTTAATAACAGTTTACTTTTTTAGTAGTAGCTAGTTAATGGCTTCAGTTTAAGAACACATGTTAAAATATTTATTAATCCACTTGAACTTCTTTATGACCTGTTGCTTCCTTCAGGGGCTACACAAGTAATGAATTTAATCATGTACCTTTACTCTGAGAGGCACAAAATAGCTTTACCCTAGTGGCCTTGTTATTAGATGTTTCTGTATTCATAGATCTTTGCTGTGTCTATATCTTGCACACTGATATCTCTTGTTATGAAAAAGCTATTCTGATACTCATGTTAATATGTCAATCATCTTTCTTGCTTTTCTACAATATGTGTCTGTGTATAGAGTTTGTGTATATGTGTGAATGCTTGTTAAGTCAAGAATATCACAGAATGTTTTCCAGTTTTTGGTTCAACATATTACATTCCATATCAACTCAAAAGTTAAAAAAGCGATAAATTCTTTTAGAATGGTGAATCAATACTGACCACGAATGATTACAAACTTCTGTATATCAGAATCCTTTCAATTTAACATAATTTAGGCAATTAACTTCCTTGTAGGTGGAATAAAAAATTTGCCTGAAAATTTAGCTTAACTTAGTAAGGCCAGATAACTGAAATTGGACTTTTCTCACCATAATTGTCTTTTCCCCTCATTTCCACCCTCCTCCCCTTGCCGCTGCCAGTTCTAAAGTGATTGTAGGTAAATATGGAAAACTGAGAACAACTGGCTGGACTTGAAGTCATCCTGACTTCAAATTACATAAAGATAAATGCAGAACTCATTTATGTTGCAATCTGTCGTTTCAGGTATTTAAACTAGCCAAAGACAATTTCAGACCTATATAATGTAACAGAAAAGGTCAGAAAACATTACGCAATAAAGTGTGGAGCATATTAAGCAAGATGAACATCTCGGGAAGCGGCTGTGGAAGTCCTGGTTCTGCAGATGTATCTAATGACTTTAAGGATCTTTGGACAAAACTAAAGGAGTGTCATGATAAAGAAGTACAAGGTAACTTTTTTCTTAAATACTTACAACAGTATTCTGCGAGACTAAATTAGTAATAAGTAATTTTGTATGACAGTTCAAACTTAACCATTTTTAAAGGAACTTAACTTTTTGCAGAAAAAAATGGAGTTTTTTCTGATTCGTTTTTATCATTGAATTGTTACTTTCTAATTACAGACAGCTGCCACAGGCTGTAGCTCTTGCACCAGATGTAGTTATTTACTTGTGGTAATCGGTATGGTGTGGTGGAAGGAGCGTAGAAATTGTTGACTGAAGAGCTGGATTTGAATTCTGATTTCATTTATCTACTTCCTCTGTGATCTCGGTCTAGTTACATAACCTCTAAACTTAATTTTCTTCTGTAAAATTATTTGCAGAATTGTTTATAGACATAAAAATACTACCTAGGTCATTCAGTAAACCTTTAGGTATCTGTTTGCCACTGAGCACTGAGATACAAAAGTAAATGGCAGTTTGCCCTCAAAGATCCTGCAGTTCAATAGAGTCATGTAAACAGATAATTACAGTATAATGAAACCAGTGCTAAAAGGTTTATGTGAAGTGCAGTGAACATTCAGAGGATTGAGCTGATGCCTTTGGGATGAGTATATGGATATTATTTGTGATTGTGTTAGTGTATACTATTAAAATTAAACGATTAAAGCTAAACTCAAGGTTTGATATTAAGCCTTAACATACCTGTCTAATTCTGTGGTGTTAATGTAACAATGTTTTTCCCATGTGTGGGAAACACTTCATATTACATTTGTTTCTTGATTACCTGTTGCAACCATAGGTTTAATACTGCAGTGCTTTATAGTTTTAACATTAACACTGGAGAGCCATTAAAATATGATCCACTTCAATCTAAAGTACATTGTGTCTGTGTTGGAACTTTCCCGTGGTAAATTTAGTTTCTGGAAGAACCTCATAATGGACTCATCATTAATTAATAGGTTCTGAAATATGAACCCCAGTATTCTTGCAGCCTCAGAGTACTTGGAGACACTTGTTCAAGAAATGTTTTGGGGAGCACTTACTATGTGCCAGACCTTGTGAATGGTAATATGTATGAGTCATATATAGTCCTAATTTTAAGGGACTTTGTAATGTACCATGTTATCTGGGATTATAAAGGAAGAACCGGGATGGATGGGGGTGTGTGTGTGTGTGTGTGTGTGTTATACTATCAGACCAGGCTTTACAATTGAATTAAGTGTAATTATCCAGGCATAAAAGATGGTGGGGGGAGAGGAGGGATGTTCTGAGTAGAAAGAATAACATATGCAAATTTATGGATAATAGCTTGATTTTATTCAAGGAACTATATACAGTTTGTTGTATCTCCAAGAAGGAAGGGGATGGGAGATAGGAATTTACTGTTGAGGTGGACAGTTGATGCCAAAAAAGTTGATAGCTTCACATTATGTAAAACAGTATATAGTGTGCTAATCCTAAAACTTCCATCTCTGTGCCTGCTTTCATTGATTGAGAGTGGATGGGAATAGTGCTATGCTGGAAAAGAGGCCCTGTGATGGAGTGGTTTATTCCCTGAATTCTGCATCTGGACTGCCGGTATTTGAAAGCCTTATCCACCACTTGAATAGAGGTGGTGACCTTGTGCCAGTTATTTAACTTTATAGTGCCTCAAATTCCTTACCTATAAAATAAAGATACTAATAATAGCTACCTCTTATTGTATTATATAGCTTAATATATGTATAGCATTTGAAAGAGTGTCGGGCACATAGCCATATATGTTAGCTGATTCTGTCACTATGAAGCAGCAACCATTATGTATTATCAATGCCTGCTGTGGACCGTACCAGCTGGAGACAATGGGATACTACAAAAAAGTTGTAACAGGTTTCACATACTGATTACTTTTCTTTAGCCCCTTTATGGTTTTTTAAACTGCTGACTTCTAGGAGGATACAGAAAAATGACCAAAATGATAAACATGAGAAAATTGAAATGGTTGGGAAATTAATAAAATTATTATTTTCCTGTCTTTTTGGTAAGGGAGAGGAATGGGGATTTTTTTTTCTGTCATTGGATATACATTATATAAAATTTGTATTAAACATTTTTAAGTGTACAGTTCAGTGGTATTTAATAACACTGTACAGCCATCACCAACATCTCTATAACTCTCTTCATCCTGTAAAACTGAAATTCTGTACCCACTAAACAATAACTCTGTGGTCACTTCTTCCTCCAGCCACTGGCAACCACTATTCTGCTTTGTCTCTATGATTTTGACTACTCCAAGTACCTCATATAAGTGGAATCATACACTTGTCTTTTTGTGACAGGCTCCTCTTGCTTAGCAAAAATCTAAAGCTTCATCTATGTTGTAGCATATTATAGAATTTCCCTCCTTTTAAAGGGTGAATAATATTCCACTGTATGTGTAGACCACATTTTGCTTATCCATTCATCCATCAGTGGACATTTGGGTTGCTTCTATCTTTTAGCTTTTGTGAATAATGTTGCTATGAACATGGGTATACAAGTATCTCTTCAAGGCCCTGCTTTCAGTTCTTTTGGTTGTATATCCAGAAGTGGAATTGCTGAATGATAGGGCAATTCTATTTTTAATTTTTTGAGGAACCATCATACTGTTTTCCATAGCGGCTGCACCATTTTACTTTCCCACCAGCAATGCACAAGTGTTCCAATTTCTCTACATTCTTACCAAAATTAGTTATTTTCTCTTCTCTCTTTCTTTCTTTGCCAGCCTAATGAATGTGAGATGGTATCTTATTGTGGTTCTGATTTTCATTTCCTTAATAATTAGTGATTTCTTTTCATATGCTTATTGACTATTTGTATATCTTTGGAGAAATGTCTGTTCGAGTCCTTTGCCTATTTTTTAATCAAATTGCTTTTTGTTGTTGAGTTGTAGAAGTTCTTTGTGTATTCTGAATATTAGTCTCTTACCAGATATATGATTTACAAATATTTTCTGTCATTCTGAGTTGCCTCCTCAATCTGTTAATTATGTCCTTTGATGCATAGAAGTTTTTAATTTTGGTAGTCTAATTTTATTTTTCTTTTGTTGCCTGTTCTTTTGGTATTATATCCAAGAAATCATCGCCAAATTCATTGCCATTAAGCTTTTCCCTTGTGTTTTCTTATAAGAGTTCTATAGTTTTAGCTCTTTTGTTTAGGTCCTTCATCTACTTTGAGTTAAATTTTGTATATGATGTAAGGTAACTGTTTATATACTTGGTTATTCTTGGCTTGTTGGCCTTTTTTCTACTGATTGATAGGAGCTGTTTATATATGAGGCAGATTGGTTGACTTCAAATATATGAAAAGGCAGGAGTTCAGATTTGTTGTTAGTGGTAAAAGATCTGATTTTAAAGTGAACTGTACTTATGGTCATATGTCCAGGGACAAATATGAATATTTTACATTAATTCTGTTCTTCACTACACTGTACTGTTTTTCCCCCAGAAAATCTAGTGTGAAACATTGAGGAAAGATTCTGAGTTTTAGACTTGACTTGCTGTTCATTCAGTGAGTGAGTTATGAATTGTATGGTGGGAATGGTAGCAGAGAAAATAACAGAGAAGAAGACACGGTGGGGTTTTGGGGTATTGTATTAATTCTCTTTAAGAAAATATTTATACAGTATAATTATACAATGAATGATAGCAAAAATAAGCCACATACAAGACAGTCTGTCTTGGTAACACTGATAACAACAATGTAATTAGCTACATGCACTTCTTTTAAAACTGGAAAGGAATAATAACATCTCCCAGCCTCTGCTGTAGACCAAGCTTTGTCTTTCTTTTGGTTTATAATGCTGTGACCCCAGCATGTACGTTTACCAATAGGAACAGCTTCAAGTTTAAACTATCATAGGATCTATTTAGTATTTAAAAAAAGTTTATTTATTCCCTGGAGGTAAAGGAAATACAAATATTTTGAAGCAATTTAAATAAAACAAGTTGTACTTGAGTTTTTATTAAACATTTGATAGAGGAGTATTAGCATCCTGCTGTCTTCAAGCATGAGGTTAAATTCTTTATCCTTCAAAAAATTACTTTCTGTTTTTTATAACTGGTTTTAAGAAGATCACTAAAATTTTATTATGTAGAGTCCTTATTTTACTCATCTTTCTACCTACTGTTTCTGTAGATAAAAATGCTTGGCATATAGTAAGAAATTAGTAAATGGTATCTGAATTGCATAGTTTATAGCTGCATCAGTGGAACATTTTCTTAAATATCAGTTTTTGAAATTTTACAATATATAAAAAATCAAAATTTTATTTCACTAAAACTCTGAAATACTTTACTACCCATTTACTTTACATTTTCTATTTTTAGATAATACTGTAGAAAGTTGGGAAAGGAAAAATAAATCACCATTTTACAAGAATGACATTTGTTTATTCTTTTTTAGTTTTTAAAAAAATGCATGTAGTTTTTTGTATTGTGACAAGTGTACGTACTGTTTTATATGCGACTTATTTTTTGCTGTTGTTTAGTTACTTAACCAAACTGCTTGTTTTCCTTGGCACATAATTGTCATTTTAGAATTTTTATACATGCCCATTTAAAACTGGGCCAGTTTCATTTTTTAGGTTCTTAATTTAACAAGGATAAAATGTTTGGCAGATTTCTTCTTCATGTTCATTGGTGTTTCAGGGTCTTCAGGAGACTTCTGTTTTAATTTTTTATTTTAATTTTTGCTAGAATATTTTTTTAATTGTAGTATATAGTCAGTTATAATGTGTCAGTTTCTAATGTACAGCATAATGTCCTAGTCATGCATATATATACATGCAATCATTTTTGTATTCTTTTTCATTAAAGGTTATTACAAGATATTGAATGTAATTCCCTATGCTATACAGAAGAAATCTGTTGTTCTATTTTTATATATAGTGGTTATCATTTGCAAATCTCAGACTTCCAAATTTATCCCTTCCCACCCTCTTTCCCTGGTAACCATAAGATTGTTTACTATGTCTATGAGTCTGTTTC